AGGCATCTACCACCTCTCTGGGCAACTTGTGCCAGTGCCTCACCACCCTCATAGTAAAGAATTTCTTCCTTATATCTAGTCTAAATCTACCTTCTTTTAGTTTAAACCATTACTCCTTGTCCTATCACAACAAGCCCTACTAAAAAGTCCCTCCCCATCTTTCTTATAAGCCCCTATAAGTACTGAAAGTCTGCAATGAGGTCTCCCTGAAGCCTTCTCTTCTCCAGGCTGAACAAGCCCAGCTCTCTCAGCCTTTCCTCATAGAGGTGCTCCATCCCTCTGATCACTTGTGTGGCCCTCACTCCTCTGGACCCTCTCCAACAGCTCCATGTCTTTCCCATGCTGACGTCTCCAGAGCTGGATGCAGTACTCCAGGTGGGGTCTCACCAGAACAGAGTTGAGGGGCACAATCACCTCCCTCAACCATCACTGTGCCAGTTGCTCCTCTATTCCTGCCAGCGATAGCAGCTATTTCATACCAGGGGCATGTGGGGCTTTTGTTTCTCTGCCACCAGGCTGCAGCGGTGGGAAGGGGCAGCCCTGCTCTAGCCAAGCAATCACAGCAGCTTCAAAGCAAGCCTCATCCCTGCCTCGCCACAGGCAGCAGAGCATCCAGCCAGGGACCAAACCTAGCTTCCAAATGCCAACAGGAACAAAAGCAGCATCGCTCAGGCAGGAGAACTAGTCCCGATCCAGGCGCCTTTGCCTCTTGGGTGGGTCCAGGCTGTCAAATAACCTAGCTCCCGGTTCCCTCCCTGCTCCTGGCTCCCCCATCGCTCACATTGCAAAAACATGAGTTCACTCCTTGGAGCGAATGAATTGGCTTCCTCCAAACAAAACCTAGGTGTGGTGCTGGGTGAGTTCACCCCAGGGATCTCTTCCAAATGGCAGTCTGGTTAATGCTGCCCCAGCACTGGCTCTGCTCCATTTTGGACAGTCCTCCTGCACTATCCCCGGACGTTTTGCACCGTCAAAGCCTCCTGCAGATCCTCGGGGCATGCAACACACACTCTCAGTATCATGCATGAAAAATACCACGTTGCTGGGCTGCAGCAAAGCTCTTATTGCAGGCTCTTTGAACCACCTCCCAGAATAAATCACTACACAAAGGGCTACTGCAGTATCACAGGAGAAACCCCAGGGCATCTCCTCTAGAAGGGGCTACCCTCAAGCACTATAGTGGGGAAACACTTTGAGTGACACTTTAGTAGTGGTCACCATATCTGAGGTCCGATGGGTCCAATTCACCTGGGGAATAGGACAACAAGCTCCACTGTAGCTAGTGGCATTACACCAGTTTTGTCTTGGTGTTCTTTAGTCACCAGCCACTGCTGGACACCACAGGGGTTTCCGCTCCCTTTCTATCACTGCTTAGACTCAGGAGCTGCCCCAAGCCCAGCTCAAGGAACTCAACTCTCCTGCAGCACAGACATGGCTCTGCTTGCATCCCCGCATCCCTGCTTGGCACAAGGGACAGTGCAAACTGGGACCGGGGTGGGATATATCACTTTGTGAAGACACATGGCATGGACCCAAGGAGGTGCAGGAAGGGAAACAAAGAGCCTGAGGGAATCTGCTGCGAGCTACCATAAAGTGTCCCACCTCCCCACCACAGCCCAGAGAGGAATTTGAGAGCGGATTAAGGCAGGGAGCGGAGGCTTGATTCAAAGCCCGACGGAGAAAAGCAGGCTCTTTCCTCTGATTTCAGCAGGAGCCGTAAGAAAACACAGAGGTTAACTCGGGGTGGCTGCAGCAGGCACAGCAAATACCTCCTGACAGGAGCGGGATTTGTAGCAGAGGATAAAATCAGTTAGGCAGTGGCCAGGGGAGCAAACAAACCCCATTCTTGATGACACACAGGCATTGTTTTCAGGATTTTTGTCCTTTTGTCTGGTTTCTCCCTTATTTTCTCTCCCCTCGTGTTGCCTCGGGCCAGTATTTTGTCATCTTCTTTAGCTGTTAAACCACAGTGCCACTCAGTTCTTCCCCAACCAGGCTCTAAATAATCCTAAGCATCACTCTGGGCTAGCTGAAACCACCGAGATGCTCCAGTTAACACTGTGCTGTTTGATGACGACGTACAGCGGTGGCACCACGCATTGTAAGCAACACGTGGAGGATGCTCCAACTCTCCTGAAGCCCAGCAGCATCTCCCCAACTGCCACCGTGGAGCAGAGCCAAACCTTCCTGCTGTCACCCCCAAGGAGCTGACTGGGAGGTTGGTCTGAAGGAGCTGTGTTTGAAGGCATCATAGGGCTTCCTGCTGGTGGGATCATTGGGGGATGAATCACTGGGAAGAGGGCTGGGAGATGTCAGCAGGTGATGGAGAAAAGCTCTCAGTCTTCCCACCACGCAGTAAGGACACTGGTCACATACAGTGTCCCGTCTGCAGAGGTGACAAACCACAGCCACCTTTGGGATGACACGCAAAGAGGACAAGCACGTAATGTGGCATTCCCAGAATAGTCACAGCCTCCACTGGCTTGTGGCTAAGGGACTGCTCAAGCCACAGGCCCTGACAGGCTTGTCCCTTCGAACCCCTGCAGACAGCTTGCCCTAATGCCACCCCACAGCAATACAACCTTCTCCCATGGCCTTGAGGCTGCTGCTCTTGATGTCCCACCATGCTCCTAATGGGAGTGAGCTGGGTCTTCTTTGCACTGATTTAACACCAAGCCACAGCAGCCACGTGCATGCCAGCAGCAAAGAGTGAAAAGATGCTGGTGTGGGGGAAAAAACCTCTACTCCAGCAGCTAAAAAGCCCTATAAAATCCTAAAATATCCCCTGAACCCACATGAGTGCAGAGAGCAAGGCTGTCAGCTGCTAAGGCTGAGAGAGCCCTGGTAATGCAGTGGTGAAAAGATTTAGAGGAAAGTCAATATACTTCAAGGGAAAATAAATGTCTGTGGACACATTTGCTCCCGGCGCAGACTCGAGCTCGCTGTGGCTTCATGCTTTGCTGTCTTGAGGAGGAGCTGGACAGCAGTGCTCCATAGAGAAACCAGATGTGCAAGAGTAGGCAGGCTCCAGATGAGGAAGGCTGCTGTGGTTGTCTCTGTCCACCGAGGGAGCGTTTGCTGCCACCTTAGGGTCTGTCAGCACAGCTGAGGAGCTCAATCACAACCCCTGTGAGTGCTATGGGTTGGTGGGAGCTGGCTTGCTTGGGTGCCCACTGCAGCCTAACGGAGAAGAGCACTATCTCCTCCTGGCCAAGGCCTCCAGGAGCAAACTGGTGGCTAAGTCAATGCTGTAATAACTGTGCAGATGGCTCTGTTTCACACTTGGGATGTATTGGAGTAAGCAACCCTTGTTGCCAAAAGGAATTTGCAAACAAAGAACGGAGCCAGTGTTGCTGGCAACCATGACCCAGTCTGGGTAGCAGTTGCTTTGCAGATGTGCAGTGGTGGCATCGCATCTTGTTTCCTCCGAACAGTTGCACCACTTCATGAACTGGAACATCCACAAAGGCACTTCAGATGGAGGAGGAGATGACCCTTGGGCTCTTGTGAACTCATTGCTGCATCTCCTCATCAGAGATGTTTGGGTTCATTGACCACCCACAATGGCAGAGAGAGGAAGAGAAAAATGACAACGCACCATGTCACTTATGGGAGGTCCAGGCGCAGCTGGGACAGTTCAGCTGGACAGCAAGAACTCACTGACCAGCACTTACCAGAGCATCCGAGGGCAGACCAGTGCTCCAGGTAGGAGCTGCCCAGTTATGGGGACCAGAGCAGCACCCAGGAGGGACACCTAGAAAGGCAGCAGCAGAGGGACAGCAGAGTATAGCAGAAGTATCTCCACCATGTCAAAAAGCCGGTGAGTGTTTCCCATGGGGAATGACTCTATTAGCCCCAGTGGAAGGATCACAGGGACAAATGATGCTCTGGATTGAGCAGGGGAAACCTCTTGCAGACGGCACTTACAAGTGCCAAGATTAAGAGGAAGGAGCTGTATCTCAGGAGCATCTACCCTTGAGTCCCACTTCAGTGTTACAGACCTATGGTGAAGGCAGCAGCTCAATACAGAGAGAAACCCTCATTCCAAGTGGCCATAACACCAAAGGGCAAGCACTACAGCAATGACACATCTCTCCCAACAGCAGCCAGCTTCCCGTCTACCTCCCACCTCTGAGGTGGCCCTGGCCTTGGAGGCGAGCCGGGGACAGCTTAGTGCTCAGGGACACGGCTGGATTAGTCTCTCTGGTATGAAACAACTGTGGTTGGCTCTTCCTCCATCAAGAACTGGGGAAGAAAAAGGAAAACAACACCCCTTCCTGCCATCTGGATTGCTAGACGACACAAGCCGAAACATGTGTGCCATATGTACACAGCTGTGCAGCGCAGGGATGCCGCTGTCAGCCCATCTGCCCCACACGCTGCGTGCCAGTCACTCACCCTGGGGTGGGCTGCCAAGATGGGGAGGGTGCCCTGCATGGCTTCCCCTTCTCCTCCTCCTCACCAGGCATGGATGGGCTCCCTTCCTACAAGCACTAGGGTTTTATCCCATGCATACCAGCAAGGATGGGCATCTCCAGTCCCACGCATCCAAACAGGGTGGGGAAGGGGATGATACTGCATGGGTGCTGGGTACCGGTGGTTGAGTGGGGCTCCACATCCAGCACCCAACCCCTTCCCAAAGGGGCTGGAGCCGGCTGTGTGCAAGCACTGCGCTCTCCCGTGCTCCTCTCCCCCCTGTCTGCAGGGAGGTATCAGTTTCAGTGCCTCAGGAAAAACCTCCCAGCTGCTTAAGGGCCTGATACATGATGACAAGGAGGGGACGGAGGACTAACTGAGGAACAAGTAAACCGAGGTCTGTGGCTGTTGCCACACGGGGGTTGCCTCCCGCATGGGGAGGCATGCCCCCTGCTCAGGGATGTGGAAAGCTAATGCTTACCCAAAGCAAAAGAAAGCCTCCCTATTGCATTTCCTTCCTCAAACACACCTCTCCACGCCCCTGCTTCTCGCTGGACATGACCGAATGCAACGTCCTCTCATCTGATCCGATCCAAACCGCTCCTCACAGACCCTTTCCGCCAGCACCGGTGTGAATGATTTGAGTGACAAGCCAGCGCCGTGCGTATGTTCCATGAAGCTGACTGTCACCTGATGTCACGTACAGCACCAAGCACGCCGCTGGCAGCCCAACAAGAAATGAATGCAAATGTCATCCAATGATGGTGGGGACAGCCAGCCCACCCCTCAGCAAATTGCTAGGAAGACCTCGCAGCAAGCGTTTCCCAGAGAATGATTCCTTTCTCTCTGCAGCGTGAATACAGCTCTGCCTGTATGCTCCTGTGCTGACCCTGGAGAACGGCTTTCATGGGAAGAGAGGACAGCAACTTGTTCTCCAGGCTCTTTGTGCTCCCAGCTGAGTCCAAGGCTGAAATGATTTATGAAGGCAGGGCCAAGGCCAGGAATCTGAGGCTTTTCAAGAGTTGCCCATTTCCCAAAAGAGTGCTGCTTTAATTTGTTGCTTGCCTGACTTCTGCTTGAGGCTCAGCCTGGAACAGGATTGCCAGTGATTTGGGAAATCAGTGCTACTTCCCCTTGCGGTTTTGGTGGTGTAGATGTCTGTCCATGGAGAATTAGGCTGACACTTCCAAGCGTGTTACACAGTCGCCAAACAACCAAGATATGGAAGCAGCTTAAAGAAACAAGATATATCAAGTCTGGAGTTTGCATCTACAAGGGACAGCCTCTCAGCACCGGAGGGACAGCATCCAGCATGGGCTGGATTACCGTGATTATAACAGAAGCTGTCAGATCCCACCACCGTGCGGTGATTTAAAATGCTCTGATTTAGATGCTCGTTGGCAATTCCCTTCTGACATACAGTCCTAGTCTTAGCTGAGGTTGGGGATGGAAGTCTGCAGCAGATGACAGGGAAGGATTAACTCTTGGGGTGCAGCTACCCAACACACAGCAGTCACTGAGAGGGGCATCATGCAGGAGATGGGAACAAGCAGAGCTCCTCTAAGCAGGAATCAGGATTGAGTCTTAAAGTCCCCTAGGGAATGGGTTGGATAAGTAATGTCTGAAAGATGGTAGCCAAAAGTCTGAGTGTGTGAGCCCCGTGCTGCTCCCACTGGGCTGGAGGGACCATCCTGGGAGAGGTGATGCCCAGCATCACTCACCATTAGATCCATTTGCAGCTCACAGCCTCCAAGCCCTGTGCACCTCCTCCTGTCTACACACCTGGGATAGTCCCAGCAGCATCCTGGAAAGGCAGAAAAGCTGGGACAGCTGGGCTTGCATAGTGTGACAGCACATCTTTGTCAGTGAGCTGTTACAGGGTGCCTACACACAGAAGAAAGCACAGGGCTGATGACAGTGGCCAGGGCACTGATTTATTCTTCTGGAAAAGATACAAGAACCTTGTGGCTTCTCCAGATCAAACCTCACCTTCCATAAAGGTAGGAAGGTGAGGGAGGGATTTTGTCCAGAACCTTCATTTACCTTTCAGGAGGTTCACCCTGCCAGTGAGAACACATCTATTACCCTTCACAGGAGACCACAAGCATTTTCAAGACCTCTCAACAAGGAAGCCCAGCACCACACATACTTCAAGCACACACTACTATAAAAACCTTGGGAAACTAACTGGGACCACAACTGAACTCTGCTATCCCGGGCAGACAGAGGACACACAGAAAGTTTCAGAGGTGGCCGCAGGAACCTCAAAGACCCTGACACAGAAGTCAACAGAAGTTTGCTACTGCCCAAATTCCAGGTGATCCCTTTGAGCGAGCCCACCCCAGCAGCAGAGCTGCAAGTACACGTGCTCTTGGTACCAGAGCATCACCCAGCTCGCAGCGTGGCCAAGTGCCTCTCTGCACCCGCTGTTTTCACTCGGAGGGCTTTCTCTGTTCTGTTTTCATTTCCCACCCCTCCATGCAGCTCTCTCTCCGGGATGATGGGGGGAAGTCCGAAAGTTCCTAACTGCAAGCAAATTAAAAGCCCTTATTTATTTATCTTGAGTGTTAGCATACTTGCAGGGCTGGTACTTCCAGGCATTTTGAACCGACTTCCCCTTCTGTCAGGCGTCCACTCCGGACTCCTGCCTTTAACCCACCCTGACCTCAGCGCAGAGCAGCCGCCGACAGGGAACGCGGGGCGGAAGGCGATGGGGGGGGGGGTTGCTATTTGCCCAGCGATGCCCATCGCCATCCGCGCACCCTTTACGCGCCCGTCCCGCGGGGGTGCGGGCGGCAGGTACCTGCTTGCGCAGCGCCTCGAAGGCGGCGCTGATGGTGTGGACGCGGGTCCTCTCCCGGGCGTTGGCCAACAACCGCCGCGTCTGCTGCAGGGCTTTGATCTCCGGAGAGACTCCGGACGCCTCGCCCGGCCGCGGGCGCGGGGAGGCGGCGGGCGGCGGCGGCGGCGGCGGCTGCTGCGGCGGCGGCGGCGGCGGGGCGGCGGGGAAGGCGCTGGCGGCGATCGCGGCGCTGCGCGGCTGCCAGGCGGGCGGCGGTGCGGCGGGGGGCGGCGCGGGGTGGCTGTGGTTGTGGTGCGGGGCGCGGAGCCCCGTCCTCCTCCCGCTGAGCACTTTGAGCTCCACGCGGAAACTTTTGCAGCCGTGCTTGCGCCGCAGCCGCCGCAGCCCCCCCAGCTCGGCGGGGCACAGGCGCGGCCAGGGCTCGCCTTCGGTCAGCGGCGTGCTCCGCATGGCGCGGAGCGCTCAGCGCCGCCCGCTCGGCCGCTCCGCTGCTGCTGTTGCTGCCGCCTCGCCGCTGCCCATCTGCGCCGCAGCGGGCTCCGTCCGTGTGTCCGTGCGTCCGCGGCTCCCCGCAGCCTGCCTCCCAGCGCCTGCAGCCGGCCCGCCGCGCCGATGAGCGGCTTTAAAGAAACAGGAAGGCTGGGCTTCTTTTTTTTTTTTTTTTTTTTTTTTTTCTCTCTTCCCAAAACAGCTGTGCTGCCAATCTCCTTTGTTCATCCCCCCCGCACCCCCCCTTCCCTTCCCTCCCCTCCCACCCCACTCCCACTTTCTTCTTTAATCTCGCTTTTCCATGCGATGGAAGAGAAATCCTGCCCCCCGGAGACTCGCCGCGACCCACCGTGTGCGCTTCCCTCCCACCTCCCCCCCCCTTCGCTTTGCTTCCCCAGGGAAATCCGTGATTTGCTTTGGTTTCCAACCCGTCTTCATCCCGTTTCTCCCCTCCTATCGCTTGTTCCCCCCCCCCCCCAGTCAAGATCCTCATCTGCGAGGCGGGGGGTGCCTGACTTCACGTTGCCTTCCTAAATGTCCCTGGGAGCAGCGAGGGCAGCCGGCGGGATAGGTAGGGAGCCGGGGCAGCTCCAACATCTCCCAGATATCCCTCCCGCTGCTGCTTCGCCTTCGGCTGCTGCTCTGCCAGCGACTTTGGATCTGCTTGGAAGAAGTGTTCTGCAGCAAAAGGGCTGCCCTGTTTTCCAAAGGGATAACAAGGGAGCCCGGATGTGTGGGTAGTTCCTACCAGCCCTGGGCTGCTTTCTGCCTGCATCCCAAAACCCCCTTAACTCCTCTTGCTCCAACATGCTGTCCCAGTGTGGCAGGGCCAGGGGTCTCAGCAGAGCAGGAGGGAGGGAGGGATGGAGAGATGCAGGGACTTGCCTCTGGTCACAGTCAGAGCTGTGGCACGTCTAGGGATAAACTGCATTTCACAGGGTTGTAGGAAAACTCAGGACAGAAGGGACCTCAGGAGATCTGTCAGTTTTAACAGTATCTCTGTTATTGAGGCTTCTGTTCTTAAGTCACCTAAACCCCTTAGACACGAAGTCATACTGAAAATCAATGGGGTGTAAGCCCTGAGATGCTTGAGTTCACTGAAGAGAAAGGGATGTTGGTTCCTAACCTGCTTCTCCCATGGCATGTCACCCTGGCAGCCACCAGCGCTACATGGGGTGGGCAGAGGGAGCTTCTAGTGACCAAGGTGAGGTCCATGAAGCAAGACAAGCTCTGCCTGATGGCTGATGTCCTCTGCTTTGTGCTACTGTGGCCAGGCTGCCCCAAAGCAGACACAACAAGGTGGAGAAACTAGAGGTACCGGAGATAGTACTAGAGAAGATGATGGGTCCCAGGTCAGCATCACCCCCTGCCTGTGGTGGTGCTGACAAACTGCTCTGATATCCTCAGCTAGAGCCTCTGAATTATTGCTACTAGTGACAGAGCATGCCCTAATGGCCCTTTTCTCCATCTTTTGTCTCCAAGTTCCTCTAACTCGCAAGGGTGAGAGCCAACAAAGGGGTTTTTGGTTATCCTGGTTTCTCCCAAGTGTCCCAATGAGCGGCAGTGGCACTAGGCCCTCCAGCAGCATCTGTCTTTCAGTGGAAGCCTACGTTAAACACTTAGTGCCTCTTCTCACAAGAGAAGGAGGATTAAGCCCAAGATCTTGGCCAAACTTCAGTCTTATCCATTAAATGCTGCCTACTTAAAATCCTCCTGCTGTTCCAGATTGACTCCATGGACCAAATCCATTTACCAGGGGGTAAATAGATGAAGTTCTTTGAAAACAAAATCATTTTCAGCCACTTACACCATTTGTTTTTCACATCTTGCCCTTAAGGCGCATGTATTTTCTGGGTGCTGGTTATGTAGCTGCTCCCTTGGCGGTGGTTGTATTACGGAGTGCTTCCAAGAAGAAACCTAAACCTGAGTGTCCCCAGTCACGTAACTGCCTGTCAGACCTTCCTCTTCTCTGCTTTTAGTATCCTCGTGGTTATGGGCATCACGGGAGAGCTGGGGAGGCCCGAATCAGGCTGAGTCACCATGGTCCTTGTCCCTCAGGGTGACGCACTGTGTGGTGCACACAGTCCGTCCCCCTCTGCGTCCTGTTTGCAGACAATACAGCAACGACAGACGCTGAGTAGATGCAAACCTGCACCGAGTGCATGAACCTGCTTTCATTTCATTAGTAGAAGTAGTGCAAGCTGCCTGAGGACTCTCTTGTATCATAGAATCACAGAATCACAGACTGGTTTGGGTCGGAAAGGACCTTAAGATCATCCAGTTCCAACCCGCTACCGTGGTCGGGGATGCCTCACATTAGACCATGTCGCCCAATGCTCTGTCCAAGCTGGCCTTGAACACTACAGGGATGGAGCATTCACCACTTCTTTGGGCAGCCTGTTCCGGTGCCTCAGCACTCTCACAGTAAAGAACTTCTTCCTTATACCTAACCTGAACTTCTCTTGTTGAAGTTTAAACCCATCACCCCTTGTCCTATTGCTACAGTCCCTGATGAAGAGTCTCTCTCTGGCAACCAATCATCTGATTGAGTTGCTCCTTTTCACCTTAGAAGTGGTTGAACATAAAACTTACTTGAGACTAAACTGAAGGGAGAGGTTTAAACTCCAATGAAAAGGCCCAATACAACCTCTTCTACCAGCTGAAAGTTACTCTTTCAGTTAAGCAAGGATGAGTTTCCTGCAGAGTAAATCCTGTCCTTCACAGCACAAGCCACAGTAGCCCCAGAGTCACTGGCACGCTTTCCACATGCAGTGGAGGTGGGCAGTGATGCCTAAGGTCACAGACATCACCTTAACTCTGCAAATTAAAGCAAGTGGGGCCATGCTGGCATCAGTATTCAGGTTAGGAGCAGCATGGCCTTGTGCCAATGCACTGGAGCAGCACACCTTTCGGGACTGAATGCAACAGCATCTCCAGGCAGTGCTGGCTGCTCTGGGCCATATGGATGCAGGAGCTCATTCTATGCACCAAAATGATGGCATGAGGTAGAAAACGGAGGGAATCGCCTGCAGAGTAAAGGAGCATGGTTGTGAGTTGTAGTGAAGCTTCTGACCTTTCCTTCCTGCAGACCACTTCATGTCAGCCCTGTCTGCACTCAGAGTTACATCATTTTAGCAGTGCTGCAGTGTCCTGCAGCATAGATGCAGGTAAGGGAGGTGCTTGCCCTAAGCTGGTCTCTGGGTGAAACACCTCAGTGGGTGTTAGTCTGCTCTGCTAAAAGTTAATGTGGTTGAAAGAAATGTATGTTCAGACAATATGTTTTTTAAAAGGATAAATAAGTAGAAAGGAAAAGGAAATGGTAGCAATATATTGTCAAGATTTAATGGGAGGTGCAGTCTAGGGTGTTTGAAAGGGGCAAAGATGTGCTGCAGGTGGGTGCCAGGGAGGTGTCTCCAAAGCAGAGCCCAAAGGACAGGACTTCTTCCCTAGGAAAGCATCCTGAGCATCTCTGAAAGGTGCTTCAGCTGGTGACAGCTTTGTACACTCTGCAAAACATAGCACACTTCCAACCCCTGTGATAAAACAGAGCTCTGCGCTTGTACGAAGGAACATCTACTCTCTTGTGTGCTTTCCAACATCCTCAGGCAAGAGGAATTACTTTAAAACACTGTTGAAGAGCAAAAACCTAAAGTCTGATTGCAAGTGACAGGCCGAGTATATCAATGTGAAGTTGAGTCATCAAAGTGAGATTGAGTCACAGCCTTGAGCCTTCTTCTTTCAACGTTTCAATGTGTGTCGTGTACTCTGACATTATCATTAGGAGCTTGACAGCATTGGAGTCTTTCTTGGGAGCTAAAAAAACACAGTGTGTGTTTTGAAGCGTGGAAGATAGAAGAAAGGAGAAGAGGAGAACTTTTCTCTTTCTCTGCCATAAAAATTCCATCAGGAGCACATTCTTGTATTGTGAAGTATTTAAACAACAACAACAACAAAAAGGAATCAAGAAAAAGCTTGGCAGGATTAAAGTTTGTCCAGTCCCAAATCCGGGGAAAAAAAGAAAGAGAAAAAGAAGAATTAAAAAAATGCAGTGTTTTTATAGTTCTATGAAAAATGCTTCTTAAAAAGCAGCAATTGGAGAATATAGGCAGAAAAGGAGAGAAAAACTGAGAAAAAGCTGCTGAACACATGTCTATTATTAGTGAAGAGAAGAAAAATTTCTCCAGCATTAGGAAAACCCTGTAGCATTGCTAAGTACCCATAAAATGTACAGTGGGAGTTGCAAGAACCAGTAAAGTTGGTGGTCTCTCATCAGTGGGGGTTTTTAAAGCTATTTGGAGACTTGGCGAATGTGCATGGGCAGGATTATAGGATAGTGCTCTTGGATCATATGAAACTGAGGAAGGATAGTGAAATGAGGTAAGAAATGAGAATTATTCACACCCAGTGTACATTGGAGACGTATCTGTCATTGACTTCAAACTGAATTTCTTTTTAAATGCTTGGGTTTTTTACTTGACACAGTCCATATGCACTCAGAGGGAAAAGTGCTAATGACAGTCTGCAGCTTAAGGTTATTCTCTAAATGATTACATTTAATCCTCCTCTCCTCTCCTCTCCTCTCCTCTCCTCTCCTCTCCTCTCCTCTCCTCTCCTCTCCTCTCCTCTCCTCTCCTCTCCTCTCCTCTCCTCTCCTCTCCTCTCCTCTCCTCTCCTCTCCTCTCCTCTTTCTCTCCTCAGCTTAAAGAGGGGCTGTAAGAGTGATCCAAGGTCTGAACAATATGTGTTGGCAGTGTATCTCAGCAAAGAACAAAGCGTGAGGTGCTCATGGCCCATTCACATCGCTGCTGCTCAGTCGCTTTCTAGCCCATCAGAAAGAAGTGCAACGATTTCCAGAGGCAGAGCAAATGAGGCTTGTGATAAGAGCTATGTAGTTATGCTGAACATAACAATCTTTGCAATATATTACCTAAAGGAGCCTGTGCTGCTTGAATTCTGTAAGCAAAAGCTGGGCATCTTTTAAAAGTATGTTATGGTTTAAGCTGTGGACTTGCTGCAGGAGTTGTGGTATGAATTTATGTGGAAAGCTGGGCTAAATGCTGATGCGGGATCCCCCTGGCTGCAATAGCCTTGAATCCCAATCAGGTGTCTGACTGTCTGAAACATCAGTGCACGTGTTGTTGGAAGGCATTGGGTGCTCGGTAGCCTTGCAGG